TACTAGATGTTAAAGTTTACCTATTTTGAATAGTTTAAGGGTATTATTTTTTTTTCTAATTAAAATAAATTTATTCACGCATAATGGAAAATTTTCATAAAAGTATAGTTACCTAATTTTATATTGCAAAAATATAGCCCAAAACTTATATTACAAATCGTTAGCCCATAACACAATTAAATATACGATAATATACATCCGATATACAATAATATACAAACCTTTAGCCTATAACACAATTCGGTATACAATAATAAACACCCGACATACAACAATATACAAACCTTTCAAATTTCTTTTTTACAGAATTGTTTAAAAACTTAATATACAATATTTATACACCAACATATAATATTATACGGAATTATAGGAGGTATTTATATACCCATAGACAATAATAAACAATTTTATACACTATTATACAAAATGAAATTTCGTCAATCTTTACCGGTTGATACCTTTGAAACGGCCATATGGAATCTTTTGAAATTTTGTAGTGAGATAGATCTAGTGATGATGGCCTCTCATTCTCAATAGGCGAGACATCACGAATCACAGTAGAATTTGATTTGAGAAACTTTTGAAAATGACTGACACTTTGCTCATGAGATTTCACCATAGTAATTGTGTTTGTAATTTGGATTTTTTTAGAGTTGGATGAAATTTTGAGACAATTTTTGATGCATTTGATTCGTCTCATCAAAATTTATCATTTGACTTTGAATTTGAATTTTCCAGAAGTCAAGATTATTTCTACTCCACGAACAAAGGATATTGTTGGTTGTAAGAGATGTCAATCCGCATGTCCAACAGATTTCTTGAGTGTCCAAGTTTAGGGTTGTGACCCTATGATAGTCCTTTAAACCCTTAAGTTTCTCATTTAGATCAATTTAACTAAGCATTGAAAATCTTAACCAAATTACAAAGTTATTTATTAATTGTACACTCATTAATAGATACTCCCTTACTTCCTTTTTATATGTCTCGCTCCTTAAGAAACTAGGTAAAACTTACCATTGTATCCTTATTTAGTACTCTCTTGAAGTCAAATTTTCAATAAATGGATATGAATTAATTTACTTAATTAATTAATTTAAGCAGTGGTGTAAGCACATGTAGCTAGGGAGTCCAATTGGACACCCTTCGTCGGAAAAAAAATATCGCATATACAAGTAAAATGATACACGAAGTGATTAAATAACATATTTTGGACACCCTTAACATAATAGGTTGTTATAGCCTAGTGATTTAAGATGTCTTGTGTGATTAGACATCTTTAATGAGCAGTGTTTGTGTGTTCAAATCTCCTTTGGAACAATTTTTTCCTCTTTTTAAAAAGAGCTTTTGTTGTTTAATTTTTGGACCCTCTTCGTGAAATTTCTGGCTCCGCCACTGAATTTAAGCAATGGCAATGAATCAATTGCTTAGTTTCTCTATGTTGAACAAATGTATACTTTCAGAGCTAATAACTTTCAAAGGGTAAAATAAGCAGAATAATGTCATTTATGCATTGAATTTGTGAAATGACAAATATTAAGGACCATTTATTTATAGTAAAGGTGACGTATAAATAAAAATGAATGGAGTATTATATTATATATAAATTATGTATAAAAACTGTTGGTTTAGTCCACCTATCTTCGAAAAAATCAAACCAAATGAAAGCCTTGTCGATTCAATTCGATTCGATTTTTTATTATAATGAAGAAGAAAAAAAAAATGAAAAAAGGGGATACATACGTCTTTATAGAGAAGTGATAAGGGCATATCTGGAAATGGAAAAGTTCTCACATTTATATAGTAGGATATAAAGTTATCGGCACCCAAAACAAACCCTCCTTGTCTTTCATTCTTTTTTCCATCTTCTCTGCGGCTAGGGTTTTAGCTCAGTCTTCTCCTCACAAGGTTAGCATCTCTATGCCTCACCACCCACCCACCCCCCTAATCTCCCTAATGGGTGTCTAATTTTATGCTTTTCTTGGTTTTTCCCCCCACTGTGTTTGTACATGATTATGATGAATTCTGTGTGTTACTGTATACCTTTTGTTAGGATAATGTTAATGAATGTTATGTTTGTGTTTGATGTGTTGATGAGGTTTGGATGAATTGATGGTATTGATTGGATTTGAGTTTTGTTTTTCTGGATCTTAATCTGGTGAAAAGAGAAAAAAAGTGCTAGCTTTTTGACTGTGTACTCTCTTATAGTAGATATAGTAGAGATGTGTGTATGGTACAATGGGGATTTTGATTTTTGAAGGATGAACCTTCTAATTTTAATGTGGATTTTGTATTAGTTTTGAATAGAATTTATATATTTTGGATTGGAACTACATAGAAAGGTAAAAGAGACCAATTTATTAATGACCCTTTTTTACTTCCTTCATTTTGTAAGCTCCCTAAGCATTTAAGTGGTTCTGTTTTGTCTTATTTTAGTCTGCAGAGTGGATTAGTTCTTTTGTTAGCTGCTTTTTTGCATGTGTATATCAATGACCAATTTAATAGTTCAGAAAACTGGTTTACTCCAAAATATAAATGTGTCCTTCTTAGTCTTGTGTTTGTTAAGTTGGTACCTGCAGTTAGCTGTAACATTCATGTGTGCTTGTGTTTTAAGGTTATATATAGAGGGATTTGGTTTTTTAGCTTGTGAAATTTGTGGATGTGGTTTAGTTTAGTTTAATGGTCATGGAGGTTGTTACAGATATATGGTGCCTGTAAAATGGAATGCGATAATTATGGCAGTTTCTTGTTACTTGTTTACTGAGTAATACTGACTTTTGGTGTTTTTCTATGACAGATGAATGTAGAAAAGTTGCAAAAGATGGCCGGTTCGGTCAGAACCGGTGGAAAGGGTACCATGAGAAGGTCTGTTTAGTTTTCTGTGAATGTTACCACATGAAAATAGTGTGTTAATGTATTGAGAAAGAATGTGCATGTTTGTTGCTAACTTAAAAGATTTCAGTTACTTGAGAGCCTGTTTGCCCTTGATAATATTCTCTTCTTCTTTTTTCCGGAAGAATTGCCAACTTCATTTTAAAATCAGTTTTTGGTTATAAACTTTCCAATCCCAACTTGTAGTTTGTTTCCAAGTTTGAAAAAGTGCTCCAAACTTGTTTTCCAACTCCTCCCTTGCTACATAAATTCCAAATAAATTGCTTTATTCACTTCTATGCAAAAAGTACAACCAAACAAAACTCCATCTTCAACTCCAATTTCATTAATTACAAATAAAATGAAAAATATTTGTACTCTATGGCCAAACCCCTACTTAAGTTTGTAATGACTAACTAGTGTTAGTCCAAGGGTCAAAACTTGAGTGACGGGTGGAGAGAAAAGGTACACGAGAAGTGTATTGATAAGGGGTATCTTATTTTTCTCATTCATGTTTGCTGAATGAGAGCTACTTCTGCAGAAAGAAGAAGGCCGTACACAAGACAACTACAACCGATGACAAAAGACTACAGAGCACCTTGAAAAGAATAGGTGTCAATGCCATTCCTGCTATTGAAGAAGTCAACATCTTCAAGGAGGATGTTGTTATCCAATTCGTTAATCCCAAAGGTATAAATATAATCTATATTTCACTTAGTTTTAGTCATCTGTCGCTCTATTGCCATTCTTAATAACCTTTTGTTTTTGGATTCTGTTCAGTTCAAGCATCAATTGCTGCAAACACATGGGTTGTTAGTGGTACTCCCCAGACAAAGAGTATGTGTTCACTCTTTCCTCCTGCCTTGCAACCTCAACATAAACTTTATAACTATTTCTCAAAACAAATTATACTTCAAGACTAGCATTCTTTCTGTTGGTTCTCCAACACGAGTCCTTGATTGTTAGCGGAGGAGTTTAGCTCCTTACTGTTTTAACTCCTTTTCATTATGTCTTGGCCACGTGCATAAGAATGTCTTAAGCTTAATATTTCTTTCCTCTCGCAGAATTGCAGGATATTCTTCCTCAGATCATTCACCAGTTGGGTATGTGTCATTTTTAGGCGTACACTAAGTTGTGATAAAAGCTTGAACAATCAAACATGTGTTTTGAATGTTGAAAAATGCAATTTCAGGTCCCGATAATTTGGAGAATTTGAAGAAGTTGGCCGAGCAGTTCCAGAAGCAGGCACCTGGTGCTGCTGATGCAGCTGCAGGTGCTGTTGCAGCACAGGAAGACGATGATGATGTACCAGAACTTGTGGCTGGTGAAACTTTTGAAGCTGCTGCTGAGGAGAGCCACACTTCCTGAAGTTTTTGTTGAATTCCCTTACTTTCCAATGTTCTGAAATCAGATTTTACCTTGGCTTTTGAGTGTTCTATTTCATGTCTATTGTGACACATCTCAAAAGAATTCTTAAATGCTTTTAATAGTAAGCTACTTTCCCCTTCAAAGAATTATCTTCTATTTTAGCAATGCCTATTCTTCAATGTCATGGTATTTGTTATTCTATACAAGCTAGTCTATATAGCAAGTATACGTGATTACATAGTTCTCCTTTCGACACACATGGGGAAAAACTCTCTGCTTTTTGCTGATGTCCTTGCCATGGGGTGACAATTCTGTATTAATTAAGAGGCCAAGGATAATGCTATCTGGGCTTAGCAACTAAGAGGCTAAGCAGTGATTGCTTTGTAGGGAACTCAACCACTGACTAAACCATTTATTTTGTTTTGTTTTGCACCTGGTGTCTGGTATTTGTTTTGGCCTTAGGGCTGGATTGTTGAAAGTGGTGGTGGTTACCACTTCCCTATCACAGCCTCTGGTGCACACAAACTGTTTTTTTAAGTAACTCGATAACTTGTTGCAGTTACCTATTCTCTCTGAATTTGGGTTTTGGTTTTGCAAGTACATTGCCTGTTCGTACTCTTTAGATAATGAAATTATCAAGAAAAAAGAAAGATAAGTTTTTCCAGTAAATAGGATAAGGTAATCAAGAAGTATGTTACAAACGCGTTTGCTCAACGTTTAGTTCACAGCAATGACTATGACGATTGCCACAGTAGAAAACAATGTATGATGCAATAACCTACTTGCATCCAATGAGGAGTGCACAGGTCACACTACATTCAAATATTATGATTACTACAAGATACTCATGTAGCCACATTTATAGATTGTGCCAATTAACATAACTGAAACTGATCTATTCTACAAGGTTACTATCTTTTACATTGCATGTCCTTACAAAAAGAGAGAAAACTATACATGTATAACGGGAAAAGAAGAATTTTGCTTCTGTATTTGCCTCATTCAACCTCCTTGTCTGTCTTTGTTGATTTGTGAAAAATGGAGCAACACAATTTTAGGAAGAAAAAAAAGAGGAGAAGTGATTAGTCACCTTTTCTCCTGTAACTGTGCAACAGGTATAAAGACAACCAATGATTCATCTAAACTAGAAGTGTCCGCTCTTCTACATCTGCGATTTGGAAACCTTCGTAAAACGTCCTGGAGTCTTGCTATTTTGTCCTTGATTCTACAAAGCTCCTGCATATCAGCTTCAGCTTCAGCTTCTTTTATCTTTTCCCTCTCCTTGGAATTGATTTTTCTCCTTTGTTTTTTTGCTCTGTCTCGCAGTAGTTTCAGGCTCACGTCATCGCCAGATTCTACTAGTGTCTGCTTGTGGAAACAGGAAAATTTAGAACACAAATATAACATATATCCATCTTTCAATTAGACTTTCTAAGTGAATAATGACTAAGCGCCTTTGGATCAGCTTATTTTAGGTGTTGTTTAACCAAAATAGCTTTTAAGCAATTTTGTAGTGTTTGAGTAAACTAAAAAAGCTTATAAGCCAAAAGCCATTCATTAGTTAGTATGGCTTTTGACTTATAAGTCATACGCTAATCCAAACAGGCTCTAAGACCAAAATACATCCATCTTTCAACAAAATTGAGCACTGAATACGGGAGATTCTACCCATTTAAAGTTTCTCAAGCAAAAACTTAACCAACTCAGAAATTTGAACTTGAAATGTGAAATTGCAAGCAAATTAACTAAATTCAGCCAAGTTTTAAATATACTGTGTTTGACATGGCATAGATTGAGATAAAACAAGAGAGCTTCCATGATTTCGTTGATAAATTGGGTAGCTGGAAGCATCGGCAGGTGCTAATCACGTGTCAGCTATAGGATAATAGCAAGAATAGCAACATTCCCAATCCTTGCAGGCTAAATTAAGATAGCTTTCTTTATATTTTAAGAATCTGCAGTACATATCACTTCAGACTAGGTATAAAATCCTCTCACCGACAAAATATATATCTTCTAACCAAGACGATAAGCTATTTCGCCCCTTCTTTTTTGTGTTTGTTACTTACCTTTTTCTTTTTCTGATAGTTAAAAATTAAAACCCACATTATAAGCATTTTCACATAGAGAAAAGCGATCCCGAGCCAAAAAGTAAAGCGTAAACACAATATTTTCTTTATATACATTAATGTAGAAGACCAAATAGAACTGCACATGGATTCTCAGCTAATTAAACGTACCTCTGCTCTATCTGTTGATGTTATTGCTGCTTTTTTGTCATGCTTTTCCTTGGAAGGACAGATAACCAAGTTGGGAGTTTCTTCATTAGGTGTCTGGGCTGCATTTTCTTCTGCATCACTTGACGAAATATGATCTGCTGGTTCACCCTTTACAGTCTCAGGTGTACATCCTACTGATGTTGTAGGACTAGTAGCTTGACACGGTTTTGTGCCCTCAACCTGCTGATACCCATGAATATAAGAACTTAGAATTAAAATATCCAGCTCCAGGCCAAATGTTATACAGCCCCTGAAATTCAGGGGTTAATGAAATTGCCACCACATAAAGAAAAAAGAGAAAAGTACAAAAAGAACGGATAATATGATAATGGCAAGCTAATGTAATCATCACCATAATCATGATATGAGAAAAAATGGCAGGAGACAAGGTTCAGAGAAACTTAAACGGTGAAGGACACCAATAATCTTAGCTCAATACTTACCTTTCTAGCTTTAAGGGCCGTATACCGTGCATTCTTGAACCATTTGTTCACCTAAAAATAGCATGTAACAGACAAATAAGCAAATGAAAACAATATATAAAGCGAACAGATTAACATAGCTTCCACCAACCTATCCGTCACAGGCATCTCAAGAGATTTAGGTGTTTGGTATGAAAGAAAATATTTTCCACAAAAAAAGTAAGTGGGTTTCTTACTTATTTTCCAGTGTTCAGTAAGTAAGCAGAAAATATAATCCCAAAAGCATTTCATATTAGTCTAAGCAAACATTATGGGAGTGGGGTGGAGGGTAGGAATGGGTGATGGTGGGGATGGGCGATAGGGTGGGTTGAAGTGGGGTGTGTTGGAGAGTTAAGAAACAATTAATGTGGAATGTCACTTATGAAACTTGTTTTCCCTACTTTAATTATGGAAGTCATTTTCCTTAATTTTTAAGGAACTTGTTTTCTGGAGAAATATTTCCCAAAATTATTTACCAACCAAACATGGAAAAATTGTGAAACATTTTCTTCCATACCAAACATGCCTTAAGGTTTAGGCTTCGGAACATCATTATTTATAACTATAATAAGATAAATCATCATACAGCCACCTCCCAATCCTCTTCCTCCCTTACTTTCCCCTTTTATCTGAGTAAAAGTATGTAATTATCCTAAGAGCATACGAGTCGTAGCCAAAACATATAACAATATCAGTTGTTGCTAGAGTAACACTTAAAACTTTGTGGACTATTGATCAATTAAGTTGCCAATTTCTAACAGAGCTGACTATACATCATGGAAGACTGCAGTACTACAGGATCTAAACTTTCTAGGTGTCTATTGGTATATCACAATTATCATTACCTTCTCAAATTCAATACCCAGCTGCTTGGAGAGGTTCTCCCGTACTTCTCTAGATGGAAGTTCATTCTCAGCAAATACACGGCGAAGTTCCTGTTAAAGCTCAGAAGTATTGAGCAATAAGAATACTGTAAAAGATGCTTCCTCTTTGATGTAACAACAAATACTGCAAAGAAGCATATTACCTCGACTGCATCAGGAGGAATCCTGAATATTTCTCTCTTGGCTGGTCTACCCAAAGACTCTTTTTCCACTTCATCCACTGTTTTTTCTGGACAACTTCTCTCGCTTTCAAAAAGGGTTATAAGGGTGCTTGCAGCATCTGATTCAGGCTCCTTCCGTCTACGCTTTCTTTTACCTGGACCCCAATCTTCGTCTTCACTATTTTGCTCGATCGCGGGAGCATGCTTTCCAAACATTTCCTGTGCCACATAAGAGCATCATTGATTTCTTGTTAGCAGCATGTGGTAGAAAGCCAGAAAACTTGTGGACATTAACATACTCACATCATTTAACTTAATATAGTCAACAGCTTTTCTCTGTCTGGGACCAGATAGAACTTCGCAGTCAGTTGTCTCCTCATAATCTGACCCAGCAATCTGTTCAGACAAATAATCTTTTCCACCGCTGCCATCTTCTAGCTTTCCTGTTAAAGCTAACAATTCATCCTCAAGTGATCCTAACATGCTTCCACTGCTTGCTTCACTGGAAGAACCACTCTCAAAGCTATCAGTACTACTGTGACTATTAGTAACTTTTTCGGGATCATAGTCATCATCTTCGGAGTCATCAGATGGCCAGTCTTGTTCGGGGCATAACAAGGACTCCTCACCTTCGGGCAGAAGAGCCTCTTCCTTGAAGATATTCTGTATTAATCAAATAGATATGTCATCATTAATTACCGATCAATAGATAATTCTTGGAGGGGTGCAAAAATGATTTTATGGAGAGTACAACAGTAGATTACTCAACCTCCCAGTTACTATCCATAGCAAAGTGGGTGCCAATATGAGCATTTGTTGCTTCTATTATTTCCATCTTACACTTGCAAAATTTGCAAAACCAGCCTTCATCATCTGGCGGTACTGCAAATTATCGTTTCTTTTGGAATAAGTTCTCATAAATAAAATATGAGCCAGGAGCCATTTAGCTAAGCAAAAGTTATGAATTTCAGGCGTAAAGTTCTGCTCTGCATAAGCAGTGGAAGAAAAGGGAGAAATAGAAGCATATTCAAACTAACTTACTATTTTCTGTTGATAGTGGAGGATCAAGACATTCTTGATGGAAGGCGCAGTTGCATGTACCATCACAAAGTATGATATCATTGTCAGGAAAAGCTTCTTGCAATTTGCATTTGGCACAGATAATCTGAAAATGGAACAAGAAACTTTGAACTCCGCATCCGAGTTTGATTATCTGTCTATTTATGCAGACTTTTTTCCTATTTCAGCTTTGATGCTGCTATGAGTTTTAAGGGGGTAGGGAAATAAAGTGCAATAAAAATAAAAGAGAATCAGCCATCATGGTACTGCGTGACATGCAAGTGTTTACAACGTATAAGACAAAAAACACTTTGTGAAGGATGCTTACATGTTCATGATGGACAGATCCGTCTGGAGCAATAGCAGAATCATCGATCTGCCCAGCAGAGCTAAGCAAATCCAGATGGTGAACTATCTCCCTTATTCCAAGCTTGCAGTTTAATATTTGCTTCTTTGCTCTTTGTAGTTCTCTTTCTGGCCTAATTTTTTCTCGACTGGATGAAAAGACGAAAGATGTCACATGAGCTGCTCGCTTGAAAGGATAAAGTTACACTAGCATTTACATATTGAGTTTGTCTAAATAGGCCATAGCTTGTAAATGCTCCTTTCCTTTGTGATGATTCTACTGTTAAGGGTTTAACTTTAGGGTAGCTACTTGTGCAGTCCACAATATTCGGATTGCAGGACAGCAAATGAGGGGCATCAAAATTGTTACCATACTTCTAAACATAAATACATCTCTTGGACTGGAAATGAATTGTATCATGCCTTGTCTCATGCCTTGTCTTGTCATATACAAAATCATTGTGGAAGTTAGATCCACATTAAAGTAAGAGTGTCTACTACTCTTCTATTCATTACTTGAGTAATAAATCTGATATTCCCTGTCAGTCCCAATTTTATATTTGATGCATCATGTCTCTTATTTCTCACACAACATTGATAAATTAACTCACAATTTTTTTCCTCTCTCATTTTTGGTTTTGCTTATTTCAAGATTACAAACTTACTGTATTTTTAAACATCAACATCATCCTCAGCAATTAAGGATAAAATAATTCACTATTAGCAATGTCATTATTGATTATACAATGTTAAGACTCATTTAGCCAGAACAATACCATCCCTAGGTGGAAACTCAAATAGAGAGAGGAGCTATAAGTGGTTTTAGCAAATGACCAAAAGAAGTAGAGAAAATTAGCAATAATCTGTAAATATATGACTGATATGGCACCTGAGATTAACTCAACCCGAAAGATAGCTCATGAGGAGAGAATTTCCCAAGTCCATATAAGCAAATCACAAATCCATTCCCTAACCAATGTGGGACTCTAGCCCACTCTAACAGCCCCCTCCACGCCCAAACCCAACGGGAGCCCAAATGGGATGGACCTGGCTCTGAAACCATGTAAAGATATGACACCTGGGCCTAACTCAACCTCAAAAGCTAGCTCACGAAGGGAGGATTGTCCAAGTCCATAAGCTAACCACCGGTCCATTCTCAAATCTCAACCAATGTGGGACTCTAATCCACTCTAACATAATCAAATCTGACAAAGGTGCTGGTTGCACACATGAACGATAACTCTTAGTGAACTATACCCTAACCTCTTTAGAATGGTGGAAGTAGTGGTGGAGCTACCCTTGTCAAGGGCTGTCATTTTACACCCTCTCATTGGAAATTACATTTTGCAGATACGTAATTTTTTAAAGTATATATACTATAAGTTGAATACCCTTGGCCTCTTCTGTGTATACTTGTTTACATATGACTCTCCTTGGTGAAAATCCCAACTCCACCACTAGGTGGAAGATTTTGAGGTGATGATTGCATATTGTATTTTGGAGACTGGATGGAATTTTTAGTTCAGAAGCAATCGGTCTGATTGGGAATTGGAGGAGGTAGATGAATTTATTCAGAAAATGAACTCAGTAATTTTGGACAAAAACAAAAGATCCCATACAGTGATTAGCCTGAAAAGATGGGGTCTATACTGTCAAATCCTTTCGTAAGATGAGTTAATCCAGAAACTCACACTTGTTGATACATTTATATACGGTAAAGCGCTAACTGGGAGTATCTTCAGTTGGGTTGGAGATTTATACCCTTCAGAATAGCAGTTCGGCAACTCGTTGAAGCAACCTAAGTTGCTCGGACGCAGGTGCGGGCATCCGATACGGGTGCGGATCTAGAGGTCGGACCCTCCATGATCTAAATTTTAAGATTTGGGGATACGGATCCATGTATGGATACAAGTGCGGGGATTCAGCTAAAAAATTTAAATATCTAAAAATAGAGTTATAAAACCTAAAATTATGAGATATTATGTGGAAAACTTGAGGAGAAAATATTGATAGAGAGGAGAATCCTGGAAGGAGATAAAAGGAAAGGGAGTGACAGTAGAAATTTATACATTCAAGGTACTCCATTTTCTTCAATTCCATGTTAGTTCTTGTTTTGATTACAGAAAATCATTGAATCTGTCCAGAATTTCTGCCTCGAATTTGGTCAAAGTACTCAAAACCAGTTGACTGGATTGGGTACGGATCCCACACCCACATTGTGTCGATAAGGGTGTGGCACTGAGAGTGAAGTAAAGGAACGTTGCATGTCTTTAGTGCCAAATATTCAAATTCCTCAATTTCCCATTCTTTTAGAGTAGAAGCAAGTTTCAAAAATTAACCTAGAAAGGCTTATCAGATCAGAGCATTCAATTAAAAGCTTAGAGCGAGAGGTTGAAACTGTTTAGTTAATGGTTAACAAGGAAACAACTCCCCCAGGTAGGGGATAAGGTCTACATACACCCTACCCTCCCCAGACCCCACCTAGTGGAATTACACTGGGTATGATGTTGTTGTTGCTGTTGGTTAACAAGGAAACAACTCCCTCTTTTAGTTAATAGTTAACAAAGAAACAACTCCCTCTTTTAGTTAATAGTTAACAAGGAAACAACTCCCTCTTATAGTTAATAGTTAACAAGGAAACAACTCCCTCTTTTAGTTAATAGTTAACAAGGAAACAACTCCGTCTTTTAGTGAATAGTTAAAAAGGAAACAACTCCGTCTTTTAAGTTAATAGTTAACAAGGAAACAGCTCCATCAAACATGCATATTCGTCACACTTACAACCACGTGGACACAAACATTTTACTTGGGACAATCTGTTTCTTTAGTTTCTTACCATTTGAGGACCAAACAGTTACGATACTCAGTATCAAGTCTCTAGGCAAGACAAATACATTTATGTAGATAAGAGGGATAAGGTACACACCTCTGACCTTTCCAGCCTTCTGCAGAATAAGCATCAATAAGGTTCTGCTCTAGCTTCATCTTGATCAAGAGGTATCTCGTCCTCCTTTGTAAACGTGAAACATCATCTGGATCTGCGTTATGTTTTCTTCTCCTCCTTTTTCTTCTTCTCTTTAACTTTTCAGACCCAGTATCCAGGTTATCATGTTTTAAGTTGTCCTTTGAGTTGCATGCTTGAAGCTTCTCTCCTTCACAGCTCAATACGGACTGCTTCTTTGATGATTTAGCTTTTTTCGGAATTTCTTTCTTAAGTATGTTTTCTCCAGAACAGCACTTTCCCTTACCATCACTGGCAACTGTTCTCCTTGACGAAGATGCATGAGTAGACCTTCCATGAGATTTTGATTTCAGCCTAGATCTCTTTTTTTCTAATCTTCTCAACACATTTTTTACTTGTGATGAGCTCGCAACTGCTTTATGCATATCTTTATCTGTTTTTCCAGGCATCATAGCTTGTTGTGTGACATTAAAAGTCCTGCAAGGACAAAACAATCAATGATCAAATAACCTCTAAGACAACACGAAAAGAGCAGATGAGGAGAGGTCTTTTTCTTTTTTATAAATGAGAAAAATGTCAAATCTTTGTCAAGCCAAAGATACAAAAGTTGCAGTTCTTGTTTCAATGTTACTTGTAGACTGTAGTAAATACATACCACAACAGATATTCACTGAAAAGAGGAAGAAGAAAAACTGCCAAGTAATTCTTAGTTCACTAGGAAGCACAAGTGCAATATATGTGAATCTCTTCTGCTACAGACAAGAAATTTTCATAATTGTCAATTTTACTCGACTGAAGCAACTGTAATGAAGCAGAACATCTGAGCAAATAACAAGATAGACATTGAGAAGTATGAAGACCTAGCTAATGAAGAAAGACAAATTATGCTTAACTCAATAAGAAAGAAAAGAAGCAACTTTTTTGAAAATAAAAGATACTTACTACTACAACAACTTACCGCCCATCCACAAAGTGGGGTCTAGAGCCAGTAAAGTGCACACAAACCTTACCCCTACCTCAGAAGTAGAGAGGTTGTTTCCTATAGACCCACAACTCAAGGAGTAAAAGATACTTACTATTAGAGCAAAACTAGTTTATCCTTAGATCAGTATGGATTTTGAGATGCCAGAGAATTATGGTGAAACTTATAAGACAATTTAACATGTCACTGGAAAAAGACAGTTCCAATTGATATTTGGGGGAAAAAAAGTTGAAAATGGGAATTGGCTTTCATCAAATATAATCATCAATCTAATGTAGCTAACTCCCAAACAAGATCCAATCTTTCACTCAACTCTTCCCCAATCTTCAAGTCATTACAAACTGGGATGCCAATCCCAAATTAGGCACTCTATGCACAACCAGTAAAAAGCTCAATGCATTCAAGAACCACAAAAAACATTCACAGTACTAATCCATTTATCACTCATTCTGATAACAAAAGATTGAATTTCCAAATACCCAGAAACAAAAAAAGACTTAAAACAAACACAAACATATATACACAAACAAAAAAACTTCAAATTTCAGTTCTTGATCAACCAGTTGATAACCCCAATTAAGCACATTCAACAAAACACTTACATTATTGATCCAAGAAACACTTTAGTCCAAGATTAACAAGATTGAAATTTGACAAACACCCAGAAAAGACTTAACCAAGAATTGTTAGAAAAACCAAAAAAGATTCAAACTTTAACATAATTAATCAAATGGGTATCCCTCAAAAGGGGGAAAAAACCAAAAGGGGCTAACCTTAAAGTGAAGGAGAAGAAGAAAGATCGCCCAAGTATCTCATTAGTATTTTTGAATGCAGAATTTCCACCTTCCTTGTTCTTGGGAAATTTATAGATTAAGGAAGTACTTAATAGTTAAATTCTTAAAATTATTCAATCATAAATGAATCATGGGAATAAAATTACTTCATTTATTGTACAAAATATTAGTAAAAGTATTCATAACTTGCAGTTTCTGTTGTTTGTTTCTTTTCCTTAAATTGCTTCTAAATATTGAGCATCTTCCTTGTTTTTTTTTTTTCCACCAAATATATATTACAATATCTAAATATCTAATTAAATCAAGTTCATAGTCACAGTTAATTGTTTTTTTAAAAAAAAAAATTCTCGTTCGGTATCCGTTATCTATTTTGAAGTCTCATTAAATTCAAATTCATGTCGGAAAGTCTCACATTGGGAGGGGAATAAAATGCTCCCTTACAAAGATGACTCAGTTGAGGATGAATGAGTAGTTATCACTCGATCACAACCATTAGTGATAGTTAATTGAGTTTTATAATATGAATTGATACAATAGTCGTGCAACCACTGGTCTAATATATGTTATTTTATTTGTCTCAAATCTCAATTTATGTGACACAAATGTAATTAGGAGAGTCAACACAATTTATATATGATTTAAAAATATTTCAAGTTGTTAATTATTATGATTTATAGTAATTTTAAAGTAATTTTCAGATAATATGTTATTTCCTTTCTCTCAATATATGTGACACATGTAAAATTTTGAGAGTGAACCAACTCTTTAATACGTTTTTTTTTAAAATATTTTAAATCGTTAATTATTGTGATTAATAGTACTTTGAATGTAATTTTCAAATAATATATGTTACTTCATTTGTTTTTAAATCAAGACAACTTTATTATTTTTAAGTAACTATATAAAATAAAAATAGTCAAATTTAAAAATTGACCATAAATAAAATATTTATTTTTAATATAAAATTCAAGTAAAATAAAATTATGCATCAAAATGAACAAAATTTCCAACTAAAGAAATTGATGATAAGGCCATCCATGAAAAAACAAAAAAGAGAATATGAAGTTACAGTTTAACACTACTATTAGGAAAATTTAATTGGCACAGATATTTGGTAAATTATCAAAGTAACTTATTTGATCCCAAATTCCTCACACTTTACACATTTCATTTCCTTTAATCCTCAACACCTGACAAATATTTCCATTGTGGATTAACAACAAGTTTCGTTTCCGTTTATTCTGGATCATCAATGTTTTTGAGTGCGTCTTCATGGTTGCTTGTTCATGATTGGCTAACCAAAAATAAGTACTCTATATATAAGCCTTTCTTGTTTATTTTTTTTATCAGTTATTTGAATTTTCTAAACTCCGTAGCTATGATTTTTTATGTATATGGGCCATGCTTATTGTGTTTTGCTGCTCGATCTTGTCTTTTGGAAAACACAATGGGCATAGTCCATATACATAGAGAGCACAACTGCAGAGTTCTCAGAGTTCAAATAACTGACAAGAAGGAACAAAGAAGACACAAGAATATTAATGAATATTTACTCTTGTTAGCCGATGAACATGCAATACGAACTCAAGAACATTGATGTTCCAAAGCAGAAGGAGATAGAACTTCTTGTTAACTGTAACATCTCGTACTTCGAAAAGCCAATTAGAGATTCATACAAGTTAATTAAACTTCAGTTTTTTATTTTGGGTCAACTTCAAATGACCATAACAGTTTCACCACATAAAGAGTTAGGTAGCCCATGAGGTACTAAATCGAAGGTCTTTTAGTCCTCTTTCCAACGCCGCCAAGTTTGCTAAATTCCGAGCTCGGATAAATGAGTTATGCCTGTTTGAGTGCAACTCTCTAGTCTAAGCATTTCATCCATTTAAAAAAAAGGTATTTTGGTCTTTTCCTTACCCCACTAGGCCAAAAACGTTTTTCTCACCCAAATAGGGGTATAACCTGTTTGAGATCAGTTTTCATTCATTCTTAAACGCTTAGGGTTGAGAGAAGGGTTTCAACAGGAGAAAAAAAAGAAGGTTTCAAGCGTTCATTCAAAGTTTGAGGATTTTCGCCAAGAACAAGTGTTCTTCGAGGTATGTAAGCTTTCATAGTGTTGGGTTTGTTCGCCTTCACGCCAATCATGTGGTTTCATTCATAAATTCGTTCTTGAAGTTGATTGATTGGGTTTCTTGAGAAGTTCTTGAGTTTTAACCTCATTCTTTAACAATGGAGGTTTTTGAGTTCTTGAGGTGAGGGTTTTGCGAATGAGTGTTGTTCTTGATGAATTTTGTGTGGGATTTTGTTGATTTTGTGTTGGGTTTGTGAATCAAAGTGAGTTTGGAAGAAGTCATTCGATTCTAGATGAGTTAGGACTTGAAATTGAGCAAGAAAATTCGTCAAATTTCTAGGCAAAAGCATGGGGAGGCACGCCACCATAGCGCTAGAACTACTGCCCAGTAGTTTAGGGCCTGGTGCGGCGCGCCACTTAGTGCGCCCCAAACACTGTCAATAGTTTTAGGGTTGGCGCCCCACGCCACTCAGTACGCCAGGGTCGCCACGTCCCTTACCCTTTCGACCTTCTTTCTGTATGTGTTCCCTCGAATCGTACCTAGGTACTCCCCTTGATATCCACACTTAAAATCTTCATTAATCCTAGATATTGCATACCCTGCAAGTCATTCATTATTCACACATGTCATACATCTTTCATATAGGATGATCTTAGAAAGCACCTAAGTGTTGGACATTTGCATGATACAAGTAAACCAATCGCTCTAGGTTAAAAACCAAAACGACTTTCTCAAACTAATATCTTACATATCCTAATCACGTCTTTTAAGTTACACTTTCAAATCAAGGTAAAGTTAAGAGGAAAGTTCAAGAAAGTCTTTTTGAGTCATTTTGAGAAGTCTTTTGCAATTATCTAAATATTTGAACTAAGTCTTGAGTAAATGAGTATGAGGATGAGGAGAGTTGAATTTCATGTTTCAAAATGACTATAAGGGAACTAAGTATTCCCAAGTATTTAATAATTTTACATTTAAAAGAGAGAATCATCGATTTAATGAGTTTACCAGTTCAGAAGAGTTTCAGAGTATTACCTTTTTTAAGAGGATTTTTAAGTAATCATCTCAAATTGAGAAAGAATTATGTTTTTAAACATTTGAGCATGAGTTATATATTATTGGGCGTAGTATTGAGCACCTATATGAAGATGAGTTCAGACAACTCAAAATCCTCATAAACCATGTATGCCAACATGGGTAAAGAGTCATACTTTTTAGATGATTTCTTATTGCTTTTAAGCATAGATTAGTGGATCCACTTAGTTTAGGTGTTCTATACCCCGGCAAGGCATAGGACAATTCTGGCAGCGTGGGCGAGACGTTGTATCATCATGTAGCTCATAGTGATGGTTGTCGGATAGAGAATCTCCAAATTAAGAGTAAAGAGTTTATTATTGTATTTTGATACTTATTGAGTTTGATATCTACTGTTTTAAAAGCTTATATATTGCATCTCTTATTGTTGTTTTCCCATTTGAGTTGAGATGAAGTGAGTTTGTCTTCCCAGAGTATTAGTTCAGTTACTTATGTTTCAGCTTCCCCCTTACATGCTCGTACATTCAATGTACTGACGTCATTCGATCTGCATCTTTTCATGATGCAGATACAGGTGTTCAGGGTCATCAACATGCGCTTCGTTGATACCATTTGCATTCCAATTAGCTTTGGTGAGCTTACTTACTTTTCGGAGGGTTCCACATTTACATTTCAATCATGTTAAGATGTCGTGGGTCTTGTCCCCACATCTATCATAGTATTTAGAGGCTTCATAGACAATAGTAGTATGATGAGTCTTTCAGTGTTCCTTGTTGATGTTTTAAAAACCTTGAGACAATATTTATGATTTACTGAGTATTTCCAGATAAATATTGAGAAATTCATAGTTGAGTTATGTTGAGTTTGATTATGCACTTTGAGGTTTCTATTTCACTCGAGTAAGTCGTCCTCTGACTATTGGGCCAGGCCAAGGGTTCGCTTGGAGACCAACAATGATTCTCGAGTGCCGGCCACATCCAGAGTGTAGACTCGTGGCGTGACATTTGTCGTTGACTGAAGCATTTTTCAAGTGTTGAGGATTAAAGGAAATGAAATGTCTAAAGATGAATTAAGAAACCCTAATCTAAGGGAAGTCTTTTATATAGGAATAAGTAGCGGTCTTTGTCCGATTTGGGTTGGATGATTATTTTCTTTTCTTTTGTTTATGGATTTGGGCAATAAGCCCATATGAGTTTGTCTTGCGTATTTTAAAGTATTATCGATAAAGACCCCCAAAATTTAATATAAAAAAATAGATGAGAGGGTGGGCAAAATTAAATTTGAATATTTTTTTCTTAAAAGAAAAATCAAATTATTATGTTGATTAGTAAATTTATATATTAGATTAAAGTAAAATAATAAGTTATTTTTAAATCGGCCTTCATGAAACTAAATTAAAATACAGAGCATATTGCAGGCTAAATGCGAACATACAACATTGAATAGAAAAAATAAGAGAAATGATTAGAAACAATTTCACGAAAGAATTGCCTCATAATTATTTTTGTAACCTGCACTTGCCTTCAAGAGAATATGCACACACTCTTTATGTCATGCCGTCTTTCAAAATCTATTAATTCTATTTTAAAATAGTTTAAGCATTAATAAGATATCTATAAAATTTAAGTGTATCACAGAAAGTTCGAATATAGATTAAAGGGATATTGTGCCTTATTTGTATGAAGGACAGACTCGATCTCCCTCCTCTTTTTGTGCTTAATACAATACCACCTAAAAAGACCGGATGATTGAATATTTTTTTTTTTTGCTTAATACAATACTACCTAAAAAGTCTTTCTGGATGATTAAATTATTTGTTTTACCTACCTAAATTATAATTAAGATGAATAAAATAGTCTCAATTTTGTTAAGAGCGAACCATCAAATATGAAATTATTTTGGAACCACTCCACATATAAATAAGATAAATTGTATAGAAAGATTGAAAGAAATAATGAATAATATTGCAAATATAAAATCATTTTGTTATTGTCCTTTAAAACGATCTATAAGAAAATATTTTTCATTTCTCCTCCTCAAAAAGTGAATTTTCGAAACTAAAACCATAATG